GCCCCTTGCTGTGGAGTGGTCTGTATGTCAAATGTGTTGCTCTGATTGGTCAATAAATAAAACACTGGTTGGCCAGTGGCCAGGCAGGAAGTATAGGCGGGACTAACAGGAGAATTGAGAGAACAGGAAGGTGGGAGAGAGATACTGCCAGCCACCGCCATGACAAGCAGCATGTGAAGACGCTGGTAAGCCACGAGCCACGTGGCAAGGTATAGATTTATAGAAATGGATTAATTTAAGATGTAAGAACTAGATAGCTAGAAGCCTGAGCCATTAGGCCAAACAGTTTAAATAATATAAGTGTCTGTGTGTTTATTTTATAAGTGGGCTGTCGGACTGCCGGGGCTTGGCAGGACCCAGAGAGAAAATTCTGCAGCTACAGCCCCTCGAGCAGTAGATGTTATAGGTATATGCTACGAGATCTGTCTTTCTGAGTTTTTGTTTGTCTGCTTGTTTTTGTTTAAGTTAAACATATTAAAATTCACTCTTAACTCTAGGTATAGCAGCTAATATATATAATCCTGCCACTCAGGAGGCTGAATCAGGGTGATCACCAAAAATTCAAAGCCAGCCTGTGCTACATAGTAAGGTACAGGCCAGCCTGAGCTATATAGAGTAAGATACATGGGGGCTGGAGAGATGGCTCAGAGGTTAAGACCTCTTCCAGAGGTCCTGAGTTCAATTCCCAGCTCACAACCATCTGTAATGAGATCTGGTGCCCTCTTCTGGCCTGCAGGCAAACATGCTGTATACATAATAAATAAATAAATCTTAAAAAAAAAAAAAAAAGATACGGGTCAGCCTAAGCTACAGAGTAAGACCCTTTCTGAAAACCAAAAAGAAAAAAGAAAAAAACAAAAAGGAAGAAAGAAAGAAAAGAAAAAGGATTTACTCTTGGGCTGGGGATGTAGTTCAATGGTAGAGCAATTTACTTCACATGTGTGAAACCCCAGGACTGATCTCTAGTACTACAAAAATAAACAAACATTTACAAACCACCAGAGGCCAGCCATGTCTGTGTGCTGAAAAGTCCTGGGGGTGTTGGCAAATGTTTAAAAACTTTGTTTCGGGGCTGGAGAGATGGCTCAGAGGTTAAGAACACTGCTTGTTCTTCCAAAGGTCCTGAGTTCAATTCCCAGCAACCACATGGTGGCTCACAACCATCTGTGATGAGATCTGGTGCCCTCTTCTGGCCTGCAGGGATATGTGCAGACAGAACACTGTATACATAAAATAAATAAATAAATAAATAAATAAATAAATAAATAAATAAATAAATAAATCTTTAAAAAAAAAACAACTTTGTTTCTCCATCACAGTCTAAACATTCCTCTGCCTGAAAATGCTCTACATGTCACCTGCTCACTCTGTGCCCTGAACTCCAAGTCTCCAGTGACCACTAACATTTTACTAAAGTTTTACCTTTTCCATGTCATAGGTTTGAAATCATATAATTAATTTAAAGAGTGTCCTGTGTAGCTCAGGTTGGCCTTGAACTCAAGATTCTCCCATTTTAGCCCCCTACATGCTAGGATTATAGGTGTGTGGCCTGCACCTGGCTAAATTCTTACATTTCATACAAAGTCCTTCTTTTTAAGATTTTGTTTTAGGGGCTGGAGAAACAGCTCAGTGGTTAAGAGCACCTGCTGCTCTACCAGAAGACCTGACTTCAGTTCCCAGCAACCACATGGTGTCTTCAAGCTATCTGTCCCAGGGGATCCAATACCCTCCTCTGCAAGCACTGTACACATATGATACACAGACAGACGTTTAGGAAGAAACCCATACACATAAAATAAAAATAAATATTTTTTGGACAGTGGTGGCGCACACCTTTAATCCCAGCACTCAAGAAACAGAGGCAGGCAGATCTCTGAGTTCAAGGCCAGCCTGGTCTACATTGTGAGTTCCAGGACAGCCAGGGCTACACAGAGAAAACCGTTTCAAAACACAAAACACACACGCGCACACACACACACACACACACACACACACACACACACACACACATACACACACACACACATAAAACACACACATATAATTATATATATGTGTGTGGCTAAAAATAAAATCTTATATTAAGATTTTATTTTTAGCCAGATCATGCCTTTAATCCCAGCACTTAGAATGCAGACACAGAGGCAGACAGATATCTGTGAGTTCCAGGCCATCCTGGTCTACATAGAGTTCCAGACCAGCCTGGTCTACATAGAGTTCCAGGACAGTTAGAGCTATATAATAGCAAGAGTCTCTTTCCTCTCTCCCATCTCTCTCCTCTCTCTCCTCTCTCCCCTCTACCCCTTCTTCCCTCTCCCCTCTCCCCTCTCTCATCCCCCCCCCTCAAGCTGACCTTGAACTTGCAATTCTCCTGCTGCAGCCTCTCAAGTACCTGGGATTGTAGGTCTGTAACACAAGGTCTAGCTTTCAATCTGTCTACATTTGATGTCCTTTTCTCCTCTTAATGTACTACAAACTAGGACTCTTGAGTACAGTGCTGAACAAGAGTGCTCAGAGGTGACATCCTTGATGTCACCACCTCTTAGACTTACCACCTCTCTGTTGTTTTAAAGAACATCTAGCACTTCCATCTATAAATGTTCTTTCTTTTTGTTTTAAAATAGTTTCATTTATTTATTGTATATGTGTGTGCACTTGAGTGTATGTATATGCAGGTGCCCACAGAAGTCAGAGGAGGGTGTTGGGTCTCCTGGGACTGGAGCTACAGGTGGCTGTGAGCTGCCATATTAGTGCTGGAAGTGAACCCAGGTCCTCTGCAAAAGCAGCAGGAATTCTTAAGGAATGAGTCACCTTCCAGCTCCCCACCATCTCTCTTTCTCTCCCCCCTCTGTCTCTCCCCATCCCTCACTGCAGTGCTGCGGACTGAACCCAGGGCCCCCTAGATAAGTACTGCATCACTGAGTAGCATCTGCGGCCTCATTTACAAATTTGTTTGTTTTCTTCTAAGACAGGGTCTCTCTATGCAGCCCAGGACTGCCTCAAACTTACAATCATCTTATTTTGGCCATCTAAGTGCTGGGGCCCTAGACATGTACCAGCTCACCAGACTCCTGTATAAATATTTTCATTTGTATCTCCCAAATAAGGATAATTTTATGTTTTATGTTTTTATTTAGAAAGGCTTTGGAAGTTAACTTTTAGAGTAATATACAAAATAACAAGTTTCATCATGGCATCTTTCTGTGTTGGGTGCTTGCTCCTGTGTGTGCATGCTCTTGTGTGTGCACGCCCCTCCTGTGTGTGCATGCTCCTGTGTGTGCATGCTCCTGTGTGTGCATGCTCCTGTGTGTGCATGCTCCTGTGTGTGCATGCCCCTCCTGTGTGTGCATGCCCCTCCTGTGTGTGCATGCTCTTGTGTGTGCACGCCCCTCCTGTGTGTGCATGTATATGGAAGACAGGGGCCAATCTCAGATGTCATTCTCAGGAGCCATCCACCTTGTTTTTTGAGACAGGGTCTCTTTGGCCTGGAGCTTGTGTCTTAGTTAGGATTTCTATTGCTGTGAGGAGACACCATGACCATGGCAACTCTTATAAAGGAAATCATTTAATTGTGGTGGCTCACTTACAGTTCAGAGTTTACTCCATTATTGTCATGGCGGGAAGCAAGGCAGCATGCAGGCAGACACGGTGCTAGAGAAGGAGCTGAGAGTTCTACATCTTGACTCACAGGCAATGGGAAGTAGTCTGTCTCACTGGGGGCCGCTTGAGCATATATGAGGTCTCAGAGCCCTCCTCTACAGGGACACACTTCCTCCAACAAGACCACACCTACTCTAACAAGGCCACACCTCCTGATAGTGCCACTCCCTTTGGGGGCCATTTTTTTTTCAAACTACCATAGCTCACCAAGCAGGGATTCACCTCTCATGTGTCCCCAGGGCCACCACACCCAGTTTTCTCACATGGGCTCTGTTTCAAATTCAGATACTCATGCTTGTACCTATCATCTTGCCAACTGAGCTTTCTCCCAGCTCCCCATCGACATGGCAATGTCATAGCTACACTAGCGATTATTTTATTCATTCCCCTCCCCCACTGTTCCCCTGGGCCTCCTCCTCACCTCCAGCTGGTTCCTTTTCCTTCCTTAGTTACCCACCCCTCTGCTTCCGAGTCATATAATACATTCCCATATATTGTAACTCTCTTAAAGTCTCCCTCCCCTCTCATGAACCCCAATACACAGACTCCTAAAAGATTAACCACAATATCTTTATCATTATCTTTATTTTTTTTTACTTTTTTTTTTTTTTTAAGGATTTATTTATTATGCATACAGTATTCTGCCTACATGCCAGAAGAGGGCACCAGATCTCATTACAGATGGTTATGAGCCACCATGTGGTTGCTGGGAATTGAACTCAGGTCCTCTGCAAGAATAGCCAGTGCTCTTAACCTCTGAGTCATCTCTCCAGCCCACTTTTTTACTTTTTTTAAGACGGGGTCTCACTGTGTAATGCTGGTTGACCTGGTACTCACTATCAGTTTGAGGCTGACCTCAAACTCAGGGATCTGCCTGCCTCTGCCGCCCAAGTGCTGGGAGTAAAGGTGTCCACCACCACCTGGCTTTATGCCCTTGTATCTTAAAAGCTAATACTATTTCTTTCTTTTCTTAAAATTTTTAATTTAATTTGTGTGTGTGTGTGTGTGTGTGTGTGTGTGTGTGTGTGTGTGTGTGTGTGTCTGTGTCTGTGTGTGTGTGATGTGTGTGTGTCTGTGTGTGTGTCTGTGTCTGTGGTCAGAGGACAACTTTCAGGGGTCAGTTCTCTTCTTCCACTGTGTGTTCCAGAGACCTAAGTCAGGCTGGCAGGCTTCAGCCTCAAGTGCTTTCACCCCGAGCCATCCACCAGCCCAGCACTATTGCTTACATCATCAGACACAGAAGATGTGTTTCTAAGCTTTTCTGCACATTACTCAACATTCCCAGCCCATCGGTGCTGTGCACTAGCCTATACGAACAAGAAAGCTCCTAGTACACTTACCACAATATCTCCTTCCTTCAGAGTGTGGACCTTCATGTAGATCCCCACTGCGGCCTCCTTGGGGAGTTCACCAAACTTGGTTTTGATCATGGTACATTTGACTGGATGACCAAACTTGGCTCTGAAATGACAACAGCTTGTTAGAACTGATGTGTAAAACAGCCAGCTTGCCAGGTCCCAAATAGTCAGCCCTCACCTCACTACTGAAGAATCTGCACTCCAAAGAAGGTGATAAAACTCAAAATCAAGGGGTTGGGGATTTAGCTCAGTGGTAGAAAACTTGCCTAGCAAGCGCAAGGCCCTGGGTTCGGTCCTCAGCTCCAGAAAAAATAAATAAATAAATAAATAAAATAAATAAATAATTAAAAAAAACCTCAAAATCAAATCCTGTGTGAGTGTGACTGCTGCTGTCTGGGATTAGAGAAATGTAAGAGACTGGACTTGGGAGAGAAAGGCCTAGGGACCCTTTAGCTGCCAGAAGGCTGCTTCCTGAAGAGCAGATGACCCCATGCAGCTGAGCCAGCCTGGTGGACAGGAAGTCCAGGCATAAAGTTCAGGCTGCTCAGCTGGAGCTTGAGTCTATTTCATCCAAAGCTGCTATGGGAAAGGAGTTCCCAACAACCAGCGCTACTTACAAACAGAATGGACTGTTCTAAGGCAAGGCTTTATGCACCTAGGGACACAGTAGAGGCTGGGAAGGCAGAGTAGAAGTTGGCCTCTCTGTTTATAAAGATAACTTTCCCTGGTCAGCCTGCAGACCCTAGACTTTGTTCACACTGGGGTTCATTTTACAAAGGCAACCCTGTTGTGCTCTCTTTGATTTTTGTCTATGGCAGCAGGAGAGAGGCTAGACAGTTGATTAGAGATAGAGAAAAGATTATCAGCCGAGGATATCTGGGGCTCACTCAACTCGTACACAAGACAGGCTTCCTTCCTGGCCCTCCAAGAAGAGCACAAGCAAGGCATGTACCCAGCATTCCCTGTATCTTTTACTTCCGGGTCCACATTGTCCCTTACTGGCTCACAGCCAGGTACTAAGCATCCTGTCAGCATTAAGCATGATTTATCAATATTTCACATAACTCTGAGACTCAGAAACCACTGTCCACAAAGCATAAGGCTTGGAGAAGTCAGATCCTTGACACAGTCAAAGCAAGTGACCAAGCCAGGATTTGAACCTGGGTTGAATTGACTGCAAGCCAAGCTCTTACCTGGTATACTAGAGCTCGTTCCCCTAGATGGGCAGTTTCCTGAAGAAGCTGAGTCAAAAGGACCCAGCAGCATGGACCCAGAAAGCAAAGATCCTGTCTGCCTTCTTTAAAATACTACTGTGGCTTGAGAAGATGAATGTTTATGTTCTTTTTTTTTTTTTTTTTTTTAATTTTCTGGAGTTGAGGACCGAACCCAGGTCCTTGTGCTTGCTAGGCAAGCGCTCTACCACTGAGTTAAATCCCCAAGCCCGGTTATGTTCTTAAGTAGCCATGTGAGTCAGAGGCAATGAATACAGGTCCTGGATAGCAGACTCAGGACTTCCGTAGGCTGCCTCAGCCACATACCCATCCATCTAGGATTGACGTGTCTGCCACCTCTGCCCCTCACCAGCATCTCTGAAGTCCCTAACACCCACAACCAGACCGCCCTATCAGCTCAGAGTTCCACTTACTTGACCTTCGGGCCCAGCAGCTTTGGGAGACTATTTTCTCTTGTGTTGATCTTCCCGTGAGCAGCTGTTCCCTTTTGCTCTCTGGCTTCCTGGAGACGCAGAAGTTTCAAATAGCTGAAGTCTTGTAGAGGATATGATTTGATCTGGAATTCCTTAAATCTCTCCATAGGAGACATCACTATTAAGAGAAGGCACAGAAAAACACAACGATCAGCCTTGTGCAGTACAAGGATGGCGGAAGAGCACCATAGGAACCCACTCAAGCTGTCTGGTGGCCTGAGGAGAGGAAGGAGGAGGTGTGGAGGTGCATGCTTTAATCCCAGCACTTGAGAGGCAGAGCCAGGTGGATCTCTGTGAGTTCGAGGCCAGCCTGGTCTACAGAGTGAGTTCTAGGCTTGTCAAGGCTACAGAGCCAATGAAGAAGAGGAGGAGGAGGAGGGGGCAGAAGGAAGAGGAGGCAGCTTCCATAAACTGCCCTCAGTGGCAGCCGCATCAGATCTTTCCACATTACATTTAGATAAGCAGTTAGCCTAGGACAGAAGAGGTGAACAGCAGAGACTTTAAGTTGACCGCTAAAAAACCGACGCTTAAATTGAACTCAGTTCTTTTTGAGCCAAAGCTCCTCTCTTTCTACTAACAGATCACATTTGGGGCTGGAGATGTAGGTCAGTCGGTAGAGTACTTTGCTCGCGCACACACGGCTCTGAGTTTGGTCCCGGCACCCATGTACATAGTTGGGCATGGTGGCTTGTACTCATTATCCCAGCTCTGAGGAGGGAGAGACAAGAAGATCTTTAGGGCTCGTGGGCTAGACAGCCCAGCCTACGTGGCAAGCCCTAAGTCCTAAGAAGACAAGGTGAGCTGGGCATGATGGCTCACATCTTTAATCTACCTACACTTAGGAGGTACAGCCGGGTGAATCTCGATTTCAAGTTCTGCCAAGCCACATTTCTATATCCAGCAAAACTGTCTTAATTAAGGAGAAAGAAATGCTTTCCACGATGAAAACAAACAAAGGAATTCACGAGCATGAACCGACTCTTGAAAGCCTCCTTTGACCAGAAGAGAAAGGTAAACACGGGCCTGGAGAGGTGGCTCAGCACTTAAGAGCCTTTGATGCTCTTACAGAGGACCTGGGTTAGACCCCCAGCGCCCGCCCACATGCTGGCTCACAACCGTCTGTAACTCCAGTTCCAGGGGATCCCATAGGCACACACACAGAACACATACATGCATGTAAAATAAACAACTTTTTTTTTCAAGACAGGGTTTCTCTGTATAGCCTGGCTGTCCTGGAACTTGCTTTGTAGACCAGACTGGCCTTGAACTCACAGAGATCCACCTGCCTCTGCCTCCTGAGTGCTGGGCTTAAAGGTATGCACCACCACCACCCAGCAAATAAATATTTTTTTAGAAAAGTAAACACATCCAGGGGCCACAGGAAAGAATAAGCCATGCTAGAACAGTAAGCATAAGAGGAATAGAAAAACACCAAACACTGCAAAATCAACAAAAATACAGGAGTTAATAGACAACTTTCAATAATAACTCTGAAGCTTAATGACATCAATTCTCCCATCAAAAGACATAAAGTTAGTATAGTGGCTTTCAAAAATAAACTGCATTGCCTGACAGTGGTGGCACACACCTTTAATCCTAGACAGCACTTGGGAAGCAGAGACAGGCTTATCTCTGTGAGTTCGAGGCTAGCCTGGTCTACAGGGATAGCTTCAGGACAGCCAGTGCTACGCAGACAGAGAAACTTTGTCTCAAAAAAACAAAGCAAGGGACTGGAGAGATGGCTCAGTGGTTAAGAGCACTGACTGCTCTTCCAGAGGTCATGAGTTCAATTCCCAGCACCCACATGGCAGCTAACATCTGTCTGTAACTACAACATCTGACATCCTCACACAGACATGCATATAGGCAGAACACCAATGCACATAAAATAAAAATAAATTATTTTAAAAAGTATACTGTCTCTTTAAAAAAAAACAAAGCAAAACAAAACATAAATAAATAAATAGACAGCATCTATTAGTGGCCTCCAAGAAATGCGCCTCACGAGCAAGGACAGAGGCAGCCATAGCATGAAGGGATGGAAAAGGGTATTCCAAACAAATGGAACTAGAAACCAAGTAGGGAACAGCTAGTCTGGCATAGTGGTTGACAAGCCAGAGCCCTTCACTCAAACAAGGAGGAAGGCAAGGGCCAACACCTGAGGTTGTCCTGTGACTCCCATATGTGTACATCCATCCACCTAAACAAACATGCACATGAGGAAGCGTGACTACAATCTCAGCACTAGAGGTGTGGCAACAGGAGGACCCCTGGGGGCTGGTAGCCAGTTAGTCTAAACCAAACGCATGCCCTACCCACCTAAAATAAGTAAAAATAAATAAAAATGGCTAAAAATGGTTAAATAAACACATTTTAGTGACCGTGGCTATAGATCAGGGGCATAGTGTTTCCCTGGCATGCGTAAGACCCTCGGTTTGATCCCCAGTACCACAGAAAAAAGAAAAAGCCATTTTACATACAAAGACACCAAAAAAGCAAGCCCAAAAGGATAGGAAGAGAAATATCAAACTAATAGTAAGCAAAGGAAGCTAAATTAAATCAAAAGGAGTGACTAAAAGAGTATCAGAAAAAGCAGATTTTAGAGTAAAGAATGCTGCCAGAGACAGTAGTTCATCTCAGGTCAAGAACGTGACTTGTGGGAGAGCAGCTGCCAGGCCTTGCAGTCTGGGGTCCAATCTCTAACACCTTAAAAAGAAGTCTTCTTGTCTTGAAGAGTTCAGTCCTGTGGGTGCATGGGTCAAAGTCAGCCTAGGATACAGGGGCGGGAGGAGGAGGAGGGAGATAGGAAGAGAGAAAACAGTAGTTGGAGATTCCCTCAGCTCCGTATTAACAGCTGATGGAGCAGATCGGAAAAGTCAGGAGGGACACAGACCACTGGCCCACCATCAGCAGCCCGGCTGACTTACATTCAAAGCACACTGCAGCAAGTGCCAGCATATTCTTTTCATATGCAAATGGAGCATTTACCAAGATAGATTGCTTTCTGGGCCATAAAACAACTTCCAACACATTTGAGGGGATTCAAACTGTACCGAATATTTTATCATAGAAATAATAAACAGAAAGATAGCTGGATGGTCCCCAAATCTTTGGAAACTAAATAACACCCTGATTAATATTCAGTGGGTCAAAGAAGAAATCAAGAGAGAAATTTAAAAGTATTTTGAACTGGACCACAATAGAAACACAGCATATCCAAATGTGTGCAATACAGCCTTATATTTAGGGGCCTGGCATTGGGGGGGTGCTGATGTGAGAGCTGACGTCCCTTTCAGCCTGCCTGTCATCTTGTAGTAATGGTGACAAGTGTCTACCATAAATTCATGCATCCAGGGAGTGGTCTATGAGTTTTGTATATTCATTTGTTTAGTATCCAAATGACTTTATGATACAGAGAACATAATTTATACTTTAAAGGACCCAAGGACACTGATGAAGAAGGAGACAGACTTGTGTCACACAGGACCCTCTAAGTCTAAGCCTAGGCTCTTTTTTTTCCCTCCCAAAACAGGGTTTCTCTGTGTAGCCCTGGCTGTCTTGGAACTCGCTCTGTAGACCAGGCTGACTTGGAACTCAGAGATTCACCTGCCTCTACCTTCCAACAAGTGCTGGGGTTAAAGGTGTGCACCACCACCGCCCTGAATGAGCCTAGGCTCTCAACAGTGATACTGTCCAGATAGGTGATGGGGAAACCAGGTCTAATGACTTAAGTACTAACCAATGCCAGCTACTATGTGGGATAAACCTGGCTCTGTCACCCCCCAACACACACACACACACACACACACACACACACACACACACACACACACGCATGCACATGCTCTCACATGCACACAGATATACAACCTCCTGTGAACAGAAACACCACCTAAAGTCGGGAAGCTGTTACCTTAGGCGAGTTCTAGAAGCTTTTCTCTCGTGCTATTTGTGTACAACACTAGGAAATGGAGACTGGGCATGGCTGGAGCCTTTGACAAATGTGAAAGCTCTTGCTTTTCTTTCAATGAGCTGGGTCTGTACTCTGCAACCCTCCATTGCTTAGTATCTGTATGACCCTTAAACAAAAAAAATCTCACCTCTCCGAGCCTCAGTTTCTGTATCTATAAAATGGAGACACAATTGTATCTTATTGAAAATCTGCAGTGATGGCTAGTTTTGGTTGTCAACTTGACTACATCTGGAATTAACTAAAGCCCAAAAGTGGAGGGCACACCTCTGAGGGATTTTTACTTAATTTGAAGTGGAAAGAGCTACTTCTAATCTCGATCTTTGAGGCAGAATGACACACCTTTAATATAGGTCTTTTGAGCTAGGAAACACCTCTCATCTGGTCATGCCTTCTGCTGGAAGAAGGAAGCTTTTGCTCTTTGCCTGGTTGACCTTGCCTTGCCAGCCAGTCCATTCCTTCACTGGCATTGGAGCCTACTTCTTCAGGATTCCAGTGTCTGCTGAAGAGCAGCTGAGGCATCCAGCCTCTGGACAGTTCACACACTACTGGATTCTTGACCGTTCCTTTCATAGGCAGCCATCATTGCCTGTAAGTCATTCTAATAAAGCCCTTTCTATATACACAGAAAGATTCATTCTATAACTTCTGTTACTCCAGAGAACCCCGACGAATACACCTGTTACACGAATTACACTTATGGCTAACTAGCCAAACCACTACGTGTATGCAGAATTCAATGAATGATAGCAGCTATTCATGCCACATATATCGACTTAGATAGGCACTGGAGAATACACAGTTGCAATCACACACAGCTCAGGACATACCCCAACCATCCACACTGGCTAAAATCTGAGTGTCTATTGACTCTGTGGATCACTCTGAATAAACGTAAGATGCCTGGAATGGCCACAGGCCCTGGGATCATAGAGTTTAAATTCTAGGGAGACAGCCATTTAAAAACTATTTCAGATTCGCTATATGATTTCAGCGGGACAGACACGACAGAGAAGAAATACCACAGATGCAAATGAGATATAATGAGGGCTGAGGTGGAAGACGCTGCTTCAGCAAGAGAAGTCTGGGAGAATTCTCTGAATAAGGATGCTTCATCTAAGATGTGAAAGGCAGAAGCGAGCTGGGGAAAGACGGGGTGGGGGTGTAGGAGACATGAGCAGGTGCTTACATGGAAGAATCCAGAGAGAGGGAGGGAACCATCGGCAGGCAGGGCCAAAGATCAGGATCTTAGAGTTGGTAGAAGAGGTGGGTCAAAGCAAACCTCCTGTCTGCCCCTTCGAGCTCCGATGTCCACAATTCTATGGACTGGGGACTGGAACCAGGACTGGGCCCAGGGGACATATCTTTCCCCTGCCAGCTGTGCCTTCAACTGCCAGATGTGGCCATGTGACTTACCATTGCGGTGAACTCCCAGAGGTTTGTGGTCCAACAGCTCCAGCTGCTGCCAGACCCACTTGTAATAGGAACTGGAGGACCCCAGGTCTAACATCCGCAGGATCTCACAGCTGCCCTGGACAGATCGAGGGACACAAGCCAAGGGTCAAACCCAGAGGCTCCAGGCAGGCCAGGCTTTGAAAGGAAGCTCTAGATCTACCTGACCCAACCCCATTTTGTTTTATTTGCTTAATGTGTATCATTCCATGTGTTTCCTTCATACAAATGTTATCTTCTCATAGAAAATTCAAACACCCAAAGAAGCATAAAAACTATACACCACACCGACACAGACAAAAGCCACTATTGACAATATAACGAGACAGTTGGCCTTGCTGATAACTTCAGGTTACACATCCTGTTGATACTGATGTTCCCTAACATACATACATACATAGATATATATTATATAAATAGTATATAAATATTTATATATGGATAGATACATATTTTAGTTTTTCAAGATAGGATTTCCCTGTGTAGCCCTGGCCATCCTGGAACTCACTCTGTAGACCAGGCTGGGCTCAAACTCAGATATATCCACCTGTCTCTGTCTCCTGAGTGCTGGGATTAAAGGCATGTGCCACCACCGCCCAGCGACTTTTATAATTACTCTGCAGTTAATTTCTGATCTTAGAAATGATGGCCTGAGGAGCTAGAGAGATGGCTCAGTAGTTGAGAAAACTGGCTGCTTCTCTGGGTAAGCCAGGCTCAGTCTCCAGCACCCACACAGCAGTTCACAACCAGCTGTAATTCCAGTTCCAAAGGATCTGATGCCCTCTTCTGATCTCTGCAGACACCAGGCACACACATGGTGCACTTATATACATGCAGACAAGATACCCGTACACATTAAAAACAACAACAAAACAAAACAAAAACAAAAACCCTTTTTAAAAAAAAAGCAAAAAAAATTACCTAGGTTCCCAAGGATGACGTTTACCCCTCAGGTAACTCTAGCAGGTGCAAATGTATACTAAAGCAAAGACAAAAGAGGAGGAGGAGGAGGAGGAGGAGGAGGAGGAAGAGGAGGAGGAGGAGGAGGAAGAGGAGGAGGAGGAGGAGGAGGAGGAGGAGGAGGAGGAGGAGTGGTGGCACACCCTTAATCCAGGCACTTAGGAGGCAGAAGCAGGCGGATCTCTGAGTTCTAGGCCAGCCTCATCTACATAGCAAATTCCAGGCCATCCAGGGCTACATAGTGAGAGTTTGTGTCAAAAGACAAACAAACAAAAAGAAACCCAGTTACACATCAGGCCAAACGTGTTATTCTATACTATTGCTTAGAACATTGTTCTATGCTAATTCTTTATTTGTATGTGTGTACATTTTGTGTGTGTGTGTGTGTGTGTGTGTGTGTGTGTGTGTGTGTGTGTGTGTCATTCTCTACCTTATTTTTTTGAGACAGTTTCTCACTGAGCTTGTTGCTCTCAGATTCATGAGACTCCCAGACCAGGGAATCCAAAGGCCTGCTCTTGTCTCTCCTCAACATACAGTTGAGTAAAAAATATCAGATGTCTGTACTAAAGTTATTCCATTTATACGAGGCTCAGAAACTGGTAAAAGTACTCTGTGGTGGGGATAGAGAAGCAGCTCAGGGCTAGAGAGGCAGCTCAGAGGTTAAGAACACTGCTTTTCCAGAAGACCTGGGGTCGATTTCCGGCACCTATATGGCAGCTAACAAGCATCTCTCTATAAAACTCCAGTTCCAGGGACCCAACACCCTCTTCTGGCCTCCACAGGCACTGTACACATGTGGTGCACAGAAATACATGCAGACAAAACACCCATACACAGAAATAAATCTCAAAGTAACCTGTGATGCTATTGTAATAGAGTGTCTTTGGGGGATTTTGTCTGAGAAAGGGCACAAGGCTATCTTCTGGAGGCTGGAAATGTTCAGTATGTCAGTTTGGTAGATAGTTGCCAGGTTTCAAAGTCATCAAGACAAATAGTTCAGATCGGCAATTCTACTGCGTAAGTTACACTTCCAGAAGACATTTTTAGGTTTATATAGTTTGATGGGTGTGTACCTGCTTGTCTGTATTTGCATATGCAGGTACCCTAGGAGACCGGATGTTGCCATCTGATCCCTGAGAACTGGAGTTGTAGGCAGGTGTGAGCTGCCTGATGTGGGTGTTGGGAACTAAACCCAGACCCTCGGCAAGAGCAGCCAGTGCTCTTAACCACAGAGTCAGTTCTCCAGGCCCCAGAAAACATTTTCTAAAAGATTCAGATTTGGCTGTTTCTAATTTGTGAGCATTATCTATAACTTTTATTTTTTTCAACACAGCAAAGCCCCCAATTTAAAACACAAAATCCTCCATCTTTCCAAAGTCCCCTATTCTGGGAATGGAAACAACTCAGTTCCAGGTAGCACACAATAAGTAGAAAACTCAGGATAAGATTAAGAGAACTATTGTCTTCCCTCCTCTCCTATGCTAAACCTACAGACTTAGGCTTACTTCTAGATGACCTAAGGAAAAACGACAGTGTAAGTCATTTGCAGTGACTGCCTATGCCCTGCACAGCAGGCAACTCCAACATGCATCTTTAACTCTTTTTGTTTGGTTTTGTTGGTTTGTTTTTTGAGAGAGGGTTTCTCTGTGTAGTCCTGGCTGTCCTGGAACTCGCTCTGTAGACCCGGCTGGCCTTGAACTCACAGAGATCCATACCTCCACGTCTCCCTAGTGCTGGGATTAAATGCGCGTGCCACCACCTCCCAACATATCTTAATTCTTACAGAGGTCACTGAGGCAGCTCCCTGGGCAGATAATGGAATGGGACTTTTTCATCTTTAAATTGGACACAGTCTCCTTATTTGCTTGGATCAGTTTCCTTAGAAAGGGGACTTGTGATGATCAGAGTAAAAACTTGAATTCCCAGCATTCCCTTCTCCTGCTCTTCTGATCCTGGGAGTTTGCATCAAGATATGAGTCTCCAGGCCAAGAGTGGCAGCACACGCTGTAGTCTTAGCACAACAAAGGCTGAGGCAGGAGGATTTCAAGTTTGAGGTCAGCATGGGATACACAGAGAGTTCCTGCTTCAAGAAGAAACAAGAACAAAGCAGTCGTTAGCATACATGAGGTCTCAGGCTTGAATCCCAGCACCAGAAAAAACTGCTAAGTTCCTTTTACTTCCTATCTTTATAGAAATCTTTTGCCTCTTAAGAGGAACTCTAAGAGACACAGATGGGTTGAGCTTAAAGGCTCCTATTGGAAGGAACAGACATCTAATAAGTCCTTGCTGTATGCCAGGCACTGTCCTCGGGGTTTCATTCAACATTCATTCAACAAATGCTTCTCACCCAAGAGCTGCAGATGCAAGAGAAATGATGATTCCTTTCTGGAAAAGTCTCTCATAAGTCTTTTATTGCATCCGATACTTGCAGAGAGTTCAACCACGTGTCCCAAGTGGCCCAGAATGGATTGATTATGGACATTAACTGTGTTTGAGATACCAGTGGGAATCCTATTCCCCAACCTCCCTTACAAGAAGTCAGCCACTGGCGGCTGGCTTCATCCTCAAGTGCCAGGAAGCACAGGAGCCGGGCTGCTGAGGAAGTCCGAACAGGCAAAGAGCCAGCTACATAGCAAAGAACAGTGAGCAAACAGAGCGGTCCCTTCAGACGAGCAGGGCCGCCTCAGTTCCAGCTAGAAGACACACAGGATCTGGTGTGCGGTTGCCTGTTCTAAATTCTCAGAGCCACAGATGAGAATTGTTACATAAACCTTCACATGAAAGGCCAGACTTTGGTAAAACACCGTAAGGAACAAAGTGAACTCCACTGCTGGCCCAGGGGCCCTGCCTGCAGCCACACTGTGGCCTTTGTATTACGTCCCCTGGAGGGTCATCTGCGGCACGCACTTCTGTGCAGGTTTTGTGGTGAACCAATCTTTAGGGAGAGACAGGAGTTTTCCTTTTAAAAAAGTACTCTAGCGTGCTTCAGAATTCTCGCTTTGTCAACTACCAACCTTCCTTCTTGGACTTTTGGATTTAATAGCTGGGGTGGGAGGCTTGAGAATTTTCATATATATACTTATACATATATATATAATATAAATAAATATATATGGAGAAATAATTATGGTGCATCTTGACAATAAAAAATTATTCAACACTAAAAATAAATCAATTCAAGAGACAAAAATTTCTTAAATATAAACTTCTAAGTAAAGGTCAAATCTGAAAGGCAATGTACTCTAGGATCCCAACCTATGGCATTCTAGAAAAGACAAAGCTGTCGAGACAATAAACACAGACCTCATTTCTGCCTGGGGGAGGGGGCATAGGTGGGATAGGGAGGTTTTAGGCTACTGCAATTATAATTGGATACAGGTCACCAAATAGTTGATAAGACCCATAGACTGTCCAACACAAGGAAGCAGTCCTGAAACTCTATGTAGCCCCGGCTGGCCTCAATTTTGAGGCAATTCTCCTACCTCAGTATCCCAAGTGCTTGGATTGCAAGAATCCAGGCACACACCACCGCACCTGGATGACACTGCTTTGTTCTTTTCTGGACTTTTTTTTTTTTTATTTTTTGAAGCAATGTCTTATAGCTCATGTTGACCTCAAACTCCCCAGATAGTTAAGGATGACCCTGAACTCCTGCCCTCCTTCCCAGGGGTGGGGTTACATCAAGCTGCCACTGTGGCTGGCAGAATTTGTGTTTCTCATGAGCTCCCGAATGTGGGTGCTGACTGGGCCACACCGCCTTTAGAAGCCATGGAGTGGTGGCTGAACATAAACCAAGGAAGCATGTGCTTAAAAAGTTATTTTTAAAAAATTTATCTTATTATTTTTAATTGCACACATAGGCACATATGCGGAGGTAGGTGTGTGTGTGTGTGTGAATGCAGTTGCCAACTGAGCCTAGAAGAGTGTATCAGATCTCCTGGAGCTGGAGTTACAGGTGGCCGTGAGCCACCTTACGTGGGCACTGGAACCCCTCACAGGTCCTTTGCAAAAGCAGTACATGCTCTTAACTGCTTAAGACTCTCTCTAGTCTACATTTTTGAAAAAAGATTCTAATTATTAAACTAGTTCTTATTGCAAGGCTTTACGAAGTCAATGGTCCCATTTTACAGATGAAAACAGCAAAAGACATCCCAGCTGGCAATGGTGTTGTTGATGCCCGGTACTGTAATCTCAGTGCTCCAGAGCATAAGGCAGAGGATGAGAAGTTTAATCCAGTCCCTTTTGAATGTGTAGAGACTGGAACTGGTCACTTCAATTTCAGCTCCTTGGAGCAAAGGTCCTGGGGCTCTTTGGGTCCCATTGATCCATGCACTTAAATGAGGCTGGTTCTGGGAGATGCCGGTCATCCACTTGGTCACTCCTGCGCTGGCTGGGGGAGTGGCTTCCTCTTTGGCTTGAGTGTCAGGTATTTGCAGTTCAGGATCTGTTTCTGCAGGTTCCCACGCCCCTCCATCACTCCACTAATTCACTACCTACTTAACAGCCTGTGATAAATCCCTTTTTGCTCCATGTTGGTCAGACTGAATTCTTCCCTCTGGGCCTGGCCCCTGAAGAACAACACTCCCCCTAGTGGCGCTGCTAAGCTTAACAACAGGGAAAATACACATTTACATGTTCATGTACGTAAATGCTACCTTCGGGCCAGGTGTGGGGCACATGTACTCCCAGCACTGGAGAGTTAGAGACAGGAGGATGAAGAGTTCAAGGCCACCTTGGGCTACAGAGGGAGACCCTGTCTCCAAAATAAAACAATGGCGGATATATGAAAATATACAACTAATAAAAACTAACCTTTAAAAAGGGATGGGGATGTATCTCAGTGATAAATCCCTTGCCTACTCTTCTGAAGGGCCCCAGGTTCAGTCCTCAGCACAGCAAAAACAGGGTGTGTCAACACCACTTTACAGAATCAAATATGCACACTGTTGAAATTCCACAGAGCCCGCCAATTCTCAGCAGTTTTGATGGTCTGTCTGAACTCTGCACTGATCCATCCTCACCAGACCAGACAGGATTTGACAAGTGAAGCCAGGGGCAGCACTTCCCTAGTGAGTGTAATCAAAGTCTCATCCGCCATCTGTCTCTGACCTCTCTCAGCCTCACATGAATGATGTTCAGTAAACTGAGACTTCTGGCAGCTCTCACACCAGCTTGTCAAGGGTTGTGAATCCCTCAATGACTGAGATAATAGAGGGGCACACGCCACAGCACAACTGTGGAGGTCCAAGGACAACTTTCGGGAGTTGGTTCTTTCCTTCCACTGGGTGAATTCCAAGGATTGAACTCAGTTCATCAGGCTTAGCAGCAAGCTCCTCTTAAGATTAAAGGTGCACACCACCATGGCCAGCACCGTCTTAACTTTCTGTTCCTCATTGAGGTGACCTTTTACTGTCTAATCACCAACGTCACTACTGTTCCAAAGTCTGTGCAGGATAGGTTACAGTGTGGAACCTCCCAGCCCTGTCCTTTGTCCCCCGTTCTGCAGTGACACTATGTACTTCTGTTTCCTCCTGGGTAAGGACAAATGCGTTCGTTTCATGCTGTGGGACTGCAGCACACTGACATCCTCTGTTAGTATCTTCAGCAGTGAGTCAAGGCTTGGACAGGAAGAGGCTTTGTGCTGCGATTCCACAAAATGAACCAGACCAGTTTTCAGTTCTGCTTTTGACTGAAGAGTTCTGGAGCAGCTTGCAGGAGCTGCATGCATCCAAAAGAGCTGCAGCTGTTACCCTATGTCTCCTGTGCAGGTACTCTAAGGTGTCTATAGATGTGGTTATTGTTAACAAAACAATTCAGCAAAAAATAAGTATTGTGTTACCAACTCATAAAGTACCTGAAAATGTAACCCTCAGCTCGGGCCAGCCCATACAGGCCAGCTCCGGTGCATGTCCTTCTTCTGCATTCCTTTGATCTATGGGTTCAATACTTGAGGTTCATCTTCCTCTCACCTCCTTCAGGAGGCTTCTTTAAAGCCTCCAGCCTTGCAGCTTCCCCTTCCATAGTCCTTGGAGATCACTCACATACGCCTATCACTTGGCACTTGGCGTTGACAACTTTGACTATGCGCCAGATCCAGTGGAGGAGACAGACAGAGAAAACATCTTCTTCAACATTGTATCCATTCACATCCTGGACCAACACAACCTTGACAAAAATGCACCAGATCTCTTTGGTGACTTACAGTATAAGGAACCGGCAGGTCAACTCCAATCCCAGTTCTGGAAGGGCTTTGGAGTCAGAGAGACCCAAAGTGAACCTTGTCCCCTCCCACCCCCCCACCCCAACTCTGTGACCTTGAACAGACATTTCATAGTCTTGTGCCTCAGTTTACTTTTCTGTTAAATGAGAATGAGGGCCCTACTAATCTTTGGGAGGTCACTGTGAGACCAAAATGAGCCACAACGTGTGAAACATGAACAAGAATTTAGCTACAGTCACCCATAGTCTACCAGACTAAGAATATCAAGTGGAAAGTTTCAGAAATACACGACCTGTAGGTTTGAAGTCGTGCACCCTTCTGAGTAGTCAGCCTACTGTCTGCCTGGGACACGAACCATGACCAACGTATCCATGCTGTATTGTGCTGCCTACTTGTGAGGTACTTTATAGCTCTCTGTTATCAGCTCAACTGTTGTAGTACCACAGTGCTATGGCCAAGTAACTTTATTTTACTTAACAGTGGCCCAAAACACAAAAATTGTGATTTTGTGATACAAATATTCCGAAGAAAGGCTATACATTGTTTCTTTATATTTCCTCTTACATCATCACAAAAAGGGTGAGGACATAGTATTTCGGTATATAACAGTTCTATTTTATGATAACTTAATCTCTTACTGGGCCTAACTTAGAAATCTGAATACAGGAATGTATGTAGAGAAAGATGTAGTCCATAGAGAGTTAGTTAGGTCCTACACAGAGTTTCCAACATTTGGTATGCATTCCCATCCCTCCCCCAACAACAGTGTTGCACTGTGTATCCCAAAGCTCCCATCAGCCCTCTGAGGCAAGCATGCCCTGCTTTGTAGACCTTAAGTTGGTGTGTGCAAGGTCAGAAAAGCACGTGGGCTGCATCTACTGTAGAACTGACTCAGACCATGTCTGCCTGCCTTTAAGCTGGACCTGCTCTTCCCAGCTTCGCTCCCTGCTCAGACTCTCACCTTGCAGATAAATGTGACAAATGACGACTCCACAAAGTCTTTTGCCACCAGCTGTCCATGTGAGAACTTCTCCAGCCTCCCCAAAGCTACTATCTGCCCGAGTTTCTCATCAGACCAAGACTGGAACAGATCCAACTTCCTGGGGGAAGAGGGAAGCCTATTAGAATTTATCACCCAGTATTAGAAGGTTCCAGAAAGGGGCCTTGTTCTTTGACTCTTGAGAAAATGCCTGGGGTGGGAGAATTCACCCCACCATCTGCAGTCACCTCACCCCAGTCTGTGGTCAGCATCCTGCATTTCCTCAAGCCTTCCTCTTCAGCTGAGTGGCCCCCTCCCTGTCGCTGCTCCGCCATCCGGGAATCTTCTTTCTGACTCCATTTCTGCTACACCCTATGACTCTGGCTCACAAGCTCTTCCCATAGAAAGCTCAGGTAGTTGCTTGCTTCAGCACACTGGCTACTTGGTTCCCAGCCAAAGGGTCCTGCCCTAACTTTTGGTCCTGGAGCTTTCACAAATCTCTAGCTGCCTCTGGCCAGTAAGCTTTGAACATTTAGCTCAGAGCCTAGGGAGAGGCGAGATGTCTGGAGTCTTTTGGAATTGTTTAAAGGCTCACTACAAAGCAGCCATCTCTTCCCCGACCTCACGCACCATGAGTCACAAGCTGCCTCTCTCTGTTTGGTGGCTTCACGGGGCTGCTAACAATGATGTGTTTCTCTCAGTTCTAACATGGACTCAGGGTGACTGAGCTAGTTAACTCAAGTTGGCTCACGCATCAAACACACTGAGTTCACTTCTGAGCATCACATGGGAACAGAGTCTACACCCTGACCTCAGAAGGGTATCTAGAAAGGAAGAGGAGGAGCATGCCCAGAAGAGCACAGCACCTACTGTGTGCCACGCACTGGGCCCTCCCCCATCACTTCATCCCCTCTTAAAGTCTAGGGAGAGACCTCTCATCATCCCCATTTTGTGAAGCAAGAGACTAAAACCCAAGATTTGGAGCCGGGCGGTGGTGGTGCACGCCTTTAATCCCAGCACTCGGAAGGCAGAGGCAGGCGGATCTTTGTGAGTTCGAGGCCAGCCTGGTCTACAGAGTGAGATCCAGGAAAGGCGCAAAGCTACACAGAGAAACCCTGTCTCAAAAAACCAAACAACAACAACAAAAACAAAACAAAACAAAATGAAAAACCAACAACAACAACAAAAAAAAAAACCCCAAGATTTGAAGCTCTACCTCGAGTTACCTTAGAACCCGAGGGTGTGGATTTGAGCTGGGCCCATGTCCTGGGCCCAGAACAAATTGATACAAGCTGTGGCTTGTAAAGCTCCTGAACAGTGAGCTGCTAAACCACAAACAACTAAACTATAACACACTACTAACTAGGCCTTAGTAATCCAGTTCTCTTTCATAGCTCATATTGCATTAGATCATGTTCCTAGTTGGAATGCTCAGAATTTGCTTTGGTTCTGAGAGCTATATTGGTTTTTTTTGTTGTTGTTGTTTTGCTTTGCTTCGCTCTGTTCAAATAAGCTCCACTAAATTTAATTATCCATGGAATTTTCCTTTTAATAAGCCTAAGAGCTGAGGTTGGGTGTCAGACCCATTTCCCCACAGTTTGTGCTCTTCTCAGACTCCCCCGCCTTTCCAGGCTCCATCCCCTCAGCGATGCTATCTCCCAGGCCCAGCCACAGCGGCTGGACCCCTCCATCCAGCACAGCTTCATTAGTTAACCTTTATTTGATGAACATCATGTATGCTTAGCACTCTGACAGCAGGAAGATTACAATGGCGGCCAAATCTGGTCCCTGTTGGCACACTGCTGTCAGCCATGGCATACACACTATGAAGGAATGACCACACAATGGAGACTCACAGGATGGATAGGGTTTGTAAGGGACATGGGATGCAACAGAATGGCAGATGGAGCACCCTCTCTATCTGGGGTGATAACAGAGGCGCTACGTTAGTGAAACTGGATGTTGAGACCCTGTTCCTTTTAAATTAGACACATCATCAGCCTGAGCCCTGATACTCTCATCTACACACTGAGGAAAATAAAAGGAACAACCTCACAGGACTGGACATGAGGAGACTAGATGTGAAACAAGTACAAAGCATGAGCACCCTGCCTGGCCCGGCAAGTGCTCAGTGTGTGTTAGCTACTCTTTTTTTTTTTTTTTTTTTTTTTTTTTTGGTTTTTTGAGACAGGGTTTCTCTGTGTAGCTTTGCGCCTGTCCTGGAACTCACTTGGTAGCCCAGGCTGGCCTCGAACTCACAGAGATCCGCCTGCCTCTGCCTCCCGAGTGCTGGGATTAAAGGCGTGTGCCACCACCGCCCGGCGTTAGCTACTCTTGTGTTCTGCGGTTCCACAGGAAGAGAGAGCTCAGCTGAGATCTGAAGGCATACTTGGATTTGGCTAGATAGAGGAGTTGGGTGGGCGTGGGTATTTGAGAGCACCTCCGGCCAACAGCAACCACCAGCGTGTTTCCAACCAAGGGCACAGCCAAACACAAGGAAGAGGAAAGATCTTGAATGAGGTGGAGTTACCTAAAAAAATTGTACCGATAGCGGGTTTCCTTCTGAACTTCATCGTCCAGCTTATTTGCAACGAAATCCTCCCGGTCGACAACCAGGAACTCTGTTTCCTCCATGCAGACCACTGTGGCTCTCCTGACTGCAGTGCTCAGAAGGCCCATTTCCTGGTGGGTGAACAGGGACAAGAGCAAGTGAGGCCGCACCCAGTCCTGTACCCATCTTCCCACCGCACCCAGTCCTGTACCCATCTTCCCACCGCGGCCCCTTCCATACTCCCACTCACCCCCACCCTACCACCGCCCGTTCCCTTTATCTGTTGTTTGTGGGAAAGAGGTCTGCTACAGGCCAGAGGAAGAGGGAGCGCTGGAAAGGCTTCTCTGTGGAGTCTATAGCTTCCCTGTGTCAATGAGGCAACACAGGGACTATACTCCTTAAGTAACATGTGAAGAGGTCGGCTTTGGAGATTGCGCAGTCCCAACTCATCAGCGTTTGACAGATAAGGGCCCTGGGGTGCACGGGGACCAGGGACTTGCCACAGAGGCTGAGGCGGGCAGGGCTTGGATAAGGGTTGGAGCGGGAGTCCTGTCATACCCCAAGCCCAGCCCAGGAAGTGAGGCCCTTCCCCGGACGTACCCCGAAACAGCCGCCCTTGCGCAGCAGAGTTGGGTGGGGGTCGAGGAAAGCGCTGCTTCCGTCTTCGTCCTCGGTCACGGCAACAGTGCCCAGGTAGATGAAATAAAAACTATTGCCTCTCTGCCCCTTCTTGACGATCACACGCCTGCGCCCAAACCTGGGAAAGGTTTGACTTTTAACTAACAAGTGCTCCAGACTCAGTGAGTGCCGTGTGCTCTGGGACATGAAGGCACAACCTCGGGGTAGAAGAGACTTCAGAATGGCCCAGCCCCTGCCTGCCACTCTGGACCCTTCCCTCGCACTTAGCCAGTCTCCTGCCTCAGTTGTGCGGAGGCATCCTGGAAGCAGCAGCTGCTTCAGTTTGCCTCACTGTTGGTTAAGCTTAGCATCCGTGAGTGCTCCTGAGAGCACACGACGAAAGACTAGGGTACCCAGCACAGCAGACACGGGGAGAGACTGAACAGTGGTGAGCACTGGCTTTAGAGTCACACCAGGACCCGCATCCTGGTTCTGCACTTGGCTGTGTGACTCTGAGCAGGTCATCTCCTCTTTGAACCTCAGCTTCTCTTGTCTGTGAACTAGGGGTGCCGGGTGACGCGCCTAGGGAGAGACAGATAAAGGGGTTGGTGGGACTGTTGGGGGGGGTGCTAGATGCCAAACCTGACAGCTCAAGCTTGTTGTCAAGGAAGGACCCACGCGGTGGAAAGAGAGAACTGTTCCCTCAAGTTGTCCCCGACCTCCACATAGGTGCTGCAGATAGGATTTGTTAGCAGTCCTCTCTCTCTCTCTCCCTCCTTCCCTCTCTCTCTCTCTCTCTCTCTCTCTCTTTCTCCCTCCTCTCTCTCTCTCTCTCTCTCTCTCTCTCTCTCTCTCTCTCTCTCTCTCTCTCTCTGTTTTGTTTTTGTTTTTGTTTTTTTGTTTTTTTTTAGTCAAAAGCTCTGTGTAGCTTTGGAGCCTGTCCTGGATCTCGCTCTGTAGGCCAGGCTGGCCTTGAACTCACAGAGATCTGCCTGCCTCTGCCTACTGAGTGCTGGGATCAAAGGCGTGTGCCACTACCGCACGGCCCTTGTTAGCAGTTCTTAAACCCAGACCCCACTGATGATTCTAGGCAAAGCCAATCCAATGGAATGAGATAAAGGAGGAAAGAAAGAAGGAAAAATCCCAAGCCTGACCCAAGAGATGCTCTTTCCCTCTCCAGTCAGACTGAAGGGCGTTAGGAGCTATGACATCTTAGCATTACAGGGAGGGAGACTGGGCCTGGGAACCCGGGCCTGTCCTGCCAGCTACCAAGAGGCTGAGGCAAGAAGATCTCCAGTTCGGTCGGGGCTTGCCTGGGCTACAGAGTAAGTTTAAAGCCAGCCAAGACAACTTAGTAAGACCCTGTCTCAAAACAAAAAATATGAAAAAAGGCTGGGGGTGTTCCTCAAAGGAAGAGTGTGTGAGTGCAAGGCCCCAAGTTCACTCCCCAGCAAGAGAAGATTAACAAGGCAGACACAGTCCTGCTTGTACAGACCTGCTAAATCTAGCTGAGACTGACTTTTTAGAGGAGCCTCAAGGCCTTCCCTGGGGCTGGGTTTTCTTTATAGCTGAAGACTTCTGTCTAAAGCGCTAGTTCCCAGTCCCAGGAATGACTAACAATTAGCAGGAGGTTTTAAATGATCCTCACTTTGCTTAATCTCCCCCCAAATCTCTATTCTTAATACAATCACCATTATCATCACTTCACTAATGAAAATTCAAGGCTCAGAAGGTTAGGAGTGCTTGGAGTCACACTGGGCAGCGGTGGCGTTACCTTGCTCTATAGCTTGCTCTATCATTTTCTTTCTTCCCTCCTGACACCACTCAGCCGGCTTGCCTTCCTTTTCTTCCTTCCTTGTCTCCTTACTCTCCTTCTTGTTCTTTCAACAGGGACTCTTTACAGGAAAGAGTGAACTGCTCTTCTCCCCTGGACTTGAACAAAGCAAACGGTTCTCTCTGCCTGGAATGCCCTGGTCTACATGTCTTTTGTCAAATCTACCTCCTCTTTGAAGTAATTTTGTGATTATCGCATTAGTGTGTGTTTGTGGGGAGGCCAGAGCACGATCACAGGGGTTGCCTCTCCCTTCGCTGTGTGGGTCCAAGGGATGGAACTTGGGTGGTCAGGCTTGGAGGCAAACACGTGACTCACCGAGCCGTCGCACTAGCCCTGACCTATTCTAGTACCGTCCTTCTTATGAGACTCACCACCAAGTCATCATGCCCACGGAACCTCTAGTTCTAGGGGATCTGAAGTCTCTGACCTCCATGAGAGCCCGAGCACACACACAACTGAAAATAAAACACACCTTTAAAAATAGTAAAATTAGCAGAGCCGTGGTGGCGCAAGCTTTAATCCCAGCACTTGGGATGCAGAGGCAGATGCATTTCTGAGTTCAAGGACAGCCTGGGTTTGAGGACAGCCAGGGCTACACAAAGAAACCCTGTCTTGAAAAAAAAGAAAAGAAAAGAAAAAAGAAACCTTAACCACCACCACCCCCACATCTGGGCTATGCAATATGAGTAGATCATTATTCAGGCACTGAACAACAGGACCCAGCAGGAGGTCAAAACTTATAATTAAAGATGTGATAAATATATTTCTTTGGAAAATCTGCAACTTGAGCCTTACGTGAAATGCAGTATATTTTCTTGTGTGTGTGTGTGTGGCGGGGGGTGGGGGGGGTGGGGTGGGGGGTGTGTGGACACTTGTTTGCTTGTGCACGTGTGGGTGTGGGAGTGGGTACACGTGGAAATGCGTGTGGAGGCCAGAGGGTGTCGCCCTTGGTCATTCGTTTTTGTTTGTTTGTCTGTTTGGTTTGGTTTTTTGAGACAGGGTTTCTCTGTGTAACAACCGTGGCTCTCCTAGAACTCACTCTGTAGATCAGGCTGACCTCGAACTCACAGAAATCTACCTGCCTCTGCCTCTGGAGTGCTGGGATCAAAGGTTTGTGTCACCACCACCTGCTTTGGTCATTCTTCATCTTATGTTTTCATTACATTTATTCATTTATTTACCGTGTTTGGGTGTGTGTGTGTGTGTGTGTGTGTGTGTGTGTGTGTGTGTGTGCTTGATTTGAATATAATTTGTCCCTTGGAAACTCTAGCTGGAGATTGTGGTCCATTGTAAGGTATTAAGAGTAGAAACTTAATCCCAGGCCCTCAGGAAGTCATTAGGATTAGATAAAACTGGGCCGATGGTATAGTTTAGTGGAAGAGCATATTCTTAGCATGCATATGACTTTGTGTTTAACCTCCAGGGCTAAGGGAAAAAAAGACTGAACTAAATCAGCAGCATGAACCCTCACAATCAAATGCTGGTAGCTTTTTTTTTTTTTTTTTTTTTCAGAGCTGAGGGCCCAGGGCCTTGTGCTTGCTAGGCAAGTGCTCTACCCCTGAGCTAAATCCCCAGTCCCCCCCCCCTTTTTTTTTTTTTTTGGTTTTTCGAGACAGGGTTTCTCTGTGTAGCTTTGCACCTTTCCTGGAACTCGCTTTGGAGACCAGGCTGGCCTCGAACTCACAGAGATCCGCCTGGCTCTGCCTCCCGAGTGCTTGGATTAAAGGCGTGCGCCACCACCACCCAGCTCCTGGTAGCTTCTTAAGAAGAAAAACCAAAGGATATTATATAGGCTTCCTGACTTTCACCATATGATGCTTGGGGCTCTGCCAGGAAGAAGGTCATCACCAGATGTGGGTCCTTGCCCTTGACCCAGACTATAATCCAAAAGTCTCTTTCGTGTATAACTAGCCCAACTGTACATTACTAGTCACAGAAAATGGACTAAGACACAGTAACTAGGATGAGTGTTCTCCCTCTCTGACCCTCATTTCTGCATCTGAAAAGTGTGTAAGTTGGACTAGCTCAGTTCAGAACCCCTGTTAGATCATTTCAGATTCCATGACTGTAATTGGAGGACTCTCAGAAAGTGACTAAGCTAGGCTGCTGCCCTCACCAACAAGCACTCAGGTGACCTGCCATGTCTTTTCCATCTGGGGTCCTCCTGCCTAGTCCCGCCCTAGTCCAGGAGCCAGGGGCTGTGTGGCTCTCACTGACCTTTCAAAGCGCATGACCTTGGCCAGGAGCAGCTGCAGGGTTTCTGCATAGTTGCGGTAGCAATCTAGAACCTGTAGAACATTGCAGAGGGCTTGGATCTCCTGATCTGTCCTCCAGGATGGCTGCTTCTGTGTGATGTGAATGGCCCTTGGAGGGAGGTGACCCTGGGGAGACACAGCCAGAGGATTCTAGCTAGCAACTCTCCATATTCTTGCTTGTATGGTGCCTGTTCCACACACAGTAGTGGTTAACATGGACTGAGGGCTGTGTGCCAAGCATCAGAGTGAGCATCTACATACCCAGCTCACTGCATCTTCATCCAGCCCAAGAATTGTTCCCATTTGGTGAAGAAACTCAGAAAATCAATAGATCTGCTACCTTCCAAGGCAGAGTATGTGGTTATCCTTGCTCCAGGACCTCGTGGTCCCCAGCACGAACACGTAACTCGGGGAGAGTTGTCCTTGTCTCGGCTAACACGGTCTTCTGTGTAGGGACCAATGAGACCTGACTCACTAGCTATCGGCCATGGCAGCCACTGAGGATATTCCTTCCGAAGCCCTCTTCCTTTTCTTGACTTCCTTTTCTTGCACAGAATGCCCCTCAGTTCTAGAATTCTGTGGTGTCTAGAGAGGTCCCTGGTTTGCCCTGAATGAATCGGGGCAAAATTTTGGTAACCCTTCCACGCCTAGCATCAGACATCGACTCATCTGAAAAACTGAAGGAACACAGAATTTAGAAGACTTCCTTACTATGTTTCACCAATGAGGGGGCATGAGAAATTAGACTGTCCAGGAGGGCCAAGTACCAGGACCCACACCTCCAAAGGGTGGGGGTGGAGCATGGGATGGGCACAGGTAGCACTAGTACCAGTTAAAAAGTTCTGTTCCCCCTCTTTCCTCAGAGACTAGCCCAAATGGCTACTATAGACCTAGGTCAAGTCAGGTCTGAGCCAGTGAGAATGTGACTGGTTCCTACAATCAGACAGGTTCCTTTACATTTAAAACTGGATATTAAATTTTTATTTAATATCCAGGATTTGGAGGTTAGAAGAGAGGAAGATGTCAGGCATGGTGATGCATGCCTTTAATCCCAGCACTTGGGAGACAGAGGTAGGCAAATCTCTGTGAGTTCGAGGCCAGCCTGGTCTAGAAAGTGAGTTCCAGGACAGCCAGGGCTATACAGAGAAATTCTGTCTCAAAAAAAAAAAAAAAGGAAGGGAATAATGATGCTTGAACCCAGAGACCACATCACACAGCCCAAAGACCCACACAGATATTAAGACCTTCTCTTGTCAGAGTGGGACTACCGCTTGAAGGACATCTAACACAAGGAGGGACATGTATGTCAGCATCCCTCAGAGAGCTCAGGGCCAAACCAGAGTTCACCAACAGGCCATTCTTCCCACCACCTGGTTTTATTCTCCTCTGCCCGGGACTATCATGCCCTCAGTTTTGCTTTCTGCTGATTTCCCATGAGTCCAAACCCAGAAACTCCCCCAGATTGACCCTCCTCCAGCTAAACAGTGGTAACAGTTGGTGGGCTAGGGCCAGGAGACAGGATCGCTATGACCAGAAATGGAATGGCTACTTCCAAGTGCCACGAGTGCTGGCAGACCTGAACTAAAACCAGTTTTGTGTAGGGCTTCTTCCACCCTGAAACAGACAGAAGAGCAGACCCACCCCGACCCCCGCACAGGGAAAAGTCCGCGCCCCACACACCTCCAGACCCACCCCGACCCCCACACAGGGAAAAGTCCGCGCCCCACACACCTCCAGACCCACCCCGACCCCCACACAGGGAAAAGTCCGCGCCCCACACACCTCCTCTGCAGCAAAGTCCATGGTATCAAACGTGATCCGGCATTGCTTCCTTTTCTGAAAGAAAGGAGGCAGAGAACAGAGAATTAGTAAAACCGCCCTTGGAGTTCTGCTTTGGAAACCCTTTGTCTACCTGGGCCATTGCAGCCATGGGAAACCTCCTTTTGTTATCTCTGCCCCCAAACTCCCTACTCAGCCCTATGGCAGGCAGCATCAACAAGGTATTGTGAAGGTGGAGTGAGGGACAGGGTAGAGAGGAGGAAATGGCAACTGGGAAAAACAAGATTAAGGGAGAAAAGGAAGAGGGGAAAGACAGGAACAGACTGAACAGCACAGAGTAGGGGGAAGGAGAAAAGGAGGGGCCAAGTGAAATCAAGCTTTGTTAAGTTTCTCCAGGAACTTAAACACGGTACTTCCTCCTTCTAACACTCCATTTAGTCAATAGGACAAAACTGCTTTTATCAAGTCCCAGACTGGAAGAATTTGCCTAAGAGCCGGCCACACAGAAAGTAAATGGCCAGCCAGGCGGGTGGCGGCACATGCCTTTAATCCTAGCGCTTGGGAGGCAGAGGCAGGTGGATCTACAGAGGGAGATCCAGGGCCAAGGAAAGAAACACAAAGAAACCCTGTCTCGAAAAAGAAAGAGAGAAAGAAAGAGAGAGAGAGAGAGAGAGAGAGAGAGAGAGAGAGAGAGAGAGGAGGGGAGGAGGGGAGGAGGGGAGGAGGGGAGGAGGGGAGGAGGGGAGGAGGGGAGGAGGGGAGGAGGGAAGAGGCTAAGCCAGAGCATGGCCAGGAAGAGGACAAGAGATCTCAGGGGTGAACTAACCAACCCAGTCTCCTGACAGATGAAGGAAGGGTGCAAAAGGGAAGAGAACACATAGGAAGAGGCAACACAGAAGAAAAGTGGCCAAACCAAGGAACCCACTCTCCAGAGATCGCCTCACATGGTTCCCTGGAGCCCCTTGGATCTCTTGCCTGCTGTGAAATGCTGTCCTCCAAGCATGTCAGCCATTTCCACCTCCATGAGAGCAGCTGGGACTGCTCCCCAGAGACCTTTGGGTTGCCTGTGGTGTCCCTCATGGTGGTGGGGGGAAGGCATTAGACCCTCACCTGAGATTTCAGCTCCCGGCCTGTACTTAACACCAGCTAAAAGCATTCTGTTCCAGCCGCACACGCTCTCCAGGGTGCTAGAGCATAGAGATTTGGAGGGTAACTCAAGGGGGGCTCCACCTGTCCAGCTTTGAGGGAGTTGTCATCCATGCTGGGGTGAAGCTTTTCAACAATGTGGCTGTTTAGAGGTGACCTGTGCTCCTATGTACTACCCCCCCAGCCCCGCCCATCATGCTTCTAGAAGCCTAAATAAACTCATTTCTCAGCTCAAGTGGTACTCCTCAGGGAAGCCCACAAAGGAAGAGAGGGGAGCTCAGAAATACAGATTCACATACTCCATGGAAAACTGGCCCCTGGCTCTCCCCACCTGGCCCTGTATTCCAGTCCAGCTCTTCAGTCAACAGCCATGCGGTTCCTCTGGTGCCGTTGAAGGTTTCTTCTCTACTGGAGGTCACTCTGACTAGGCACTGTGGTGAGGTCTGATATCACACTCTCCTGACTTCATCCCTCACTCAGTCTTCTGTTCCCTGTCACCCACATGTCAGCCCTACTCTTTCCTGTTGCCACCCTGAGAAGTAGAATGTCCTTCTTGAAAACGAAGTTGAGTTCCACAGGTTACAGTGTGATCCTATCTCTCCCTTATCTCATGGCTGGTGACAGGACTGAAGACCTATTAAGTTTGACCAGCACAGCCAGAGGATAAATCCATTGGAATGTCTTTAGGAGGATGTGCCCTGTTTCTCCAGCCAGCCTATAGGCTCCAACTCCTACTATAGCTTAACTTACTAATTAGATTATTGTCTCAAAAAAAAAAAAGGTGGAAGTCCACCTTCCTATCCCCCACTGTCCCTCTCCCATCCTCCATCTTTCAGAAATCATTTGGGGAAATTTCTTGGAATAAGACATTAGATGCAGAAGGCAGAGGTTTGGGTCTAATTACTCATGGCCCAAGAGGAAAATGGGCATGGCTGGTCTACATACTGAACTGGAGAAATACTGAACCTGGAGTGGGGTGGAGACACACTAAGCACCAATGGAGACACCTTTAGGGGAATGGGACAGACTGTCAGAATGGTGACTGAGGTGGCTGTAATGAGAACAGCTCCCATAGACCCATATGTTTGAATACTTGGTCCTCAGTTGGTGGAACTGTTTGGGAAGGATTAGGAGGTGTGGCCTTGTTGGAGGAGGTGTGTCATTGGGGGGTGGAATTTAAAGTTTCAAAAGGACCCCTGCGATTTCCAGTGCTCTGATTCTATGTCCTACTTGGGGATCAAATATGAGCTCTCAGCTACTGCTCCAGCACCATGCCTGCCTTCCTGCTGCCATGTTCCCTGCCATGATGGCCATGAACTCTAACCCTCTGAAACTGAAAGCCCCAAACAAATTCTTCTGTAAGTTGCTTTGGTCATTGTATCTTCTCACAGCAATACAAACATAAGACAGTGGCCAACCAACCACTACTTCTTAGACAAAAAGAGCTCATGGTTTACTATTATAAGGTATTTTAAGCTGGGACCTTCTTTATCATGAAAATGGGGTCAGCATGGCAAACAGGATCCCAAAAATGCCCCCTTCCTTTGGTAAAGAGAGGGTACACACCTCAAAACACTCAGGAAAATCCTGGTTCTGTTGTGGCCCCCTAATTCCATCAGGCTCTTGTGATTACTGTCAGAACTTTTTTATTTTTTTAATGTGAATTGGTGCTTTGCCTGCATGTATGTCTGTGTGAGGGTGTTGGGTCCCCTGCAACAGGAATTACAGACAGTTGTGAGTTGCTATGTGGGTGCTGGCAGTTCCTCTGGAAGAGCAGTCAGTGCTCTTAACCGCTGAGCCATCTCTCTAGCCCCGTGATTACAGTTGGAAAGCATACCATGCCTCCCTCACCCCTGGAGTCCCATTTCACCTGAGGGATGTGTGTGAGCAGAACACTACTGGCTTCTACTTCCACAAGGAGGAGGAGCCACAGACTTGGAAGGAAAATCTGGACAGGGGCCTCCCTTTCTCCGTACTCTCTGTTCTGCCCTAAACTCAGGGCAGTGGGTCCTGCTACTGTCCTGCTCCAGCAGGCTGCCCTAGCCAGCACTGCCTACCACAAGGCCACGAAAGGCTGTCTAATTCAGGGTTCAGACTTGGGCGGCCCACTTGCTCAGTGATGTCGTCTCTCCAGTGCCAGGCTGGGATGAAGAGAGGCAGTGGTTGGATTTCACACATCTGTTTTCCCCTGTCTTCTCCCACAGATGGCTTTGTGCTATACGCATCAAATCCCAGCAGCCCGGTTTAGCTGGGCTACTTACATCCCAAAAGGAGAAGATAGGCTGCTTCCTTTGAACAGGTTCAGTGATCTGATACTCCCGGAATCCCCTGAGGCCTTGGCGGAACATCTTACATACTCGAATCATTACGATGATGTCCATGGTGAGCTGGTACAGCCCCTGTGGAAACAGTGAACCAGGTCAATGAAAGTCATCTGCCCTCGGGCTGGGCAGCTCCAAAGAGGGCAGAATTGAATGGGATGAAAGGCAGTGATGTGTTGGAACAGTGGTTATACAGTCAGAAGTTTAGCTTTGGAGGTTGGGGAGTGCTGGGGTGCTGGGGATTAAGCCTAGGGCCTTGAGTATGCTAGACATGAGCTCTACCCACTCTCTCAGGAAGTTTGAAAACCAGTTGAAATTTTGTTGGTAGCTTTAAAGTAACTGACCCAGGGTAGGGGTAGACACTCAGGGCATCCTCCTCACCAGGAGCCAATTGTTAAACACTCACAGTGCACTAATTGTTTTTATTTTTGTGGAGAAAATAAAGAATACAAGTAACTGTGTGTGTGTGTGTGTGTGTGTGTGTGTGTGTGTGTGTGTGTGTGCTGGGGCATGGGTAAGCTATACAAAACTGTGGAATCAGAGGAATCTGAAGGGAAAATGGTCAATAGGGTCCAATACCTCTAGTTTTGAACACTGAGAAAAATGTTGTAAGTGAAGAAAATTGTGTGGCCCTAGATGTAAAGGTATCCAAGACCTCTGGGTTGGATTCTCTGGAGTCTTGCAAAGGAAGCAGGCCTGCCAACACTGATTCTCTTTTGTTTATTTATTAGGGCACTATTTGCCTGTTTGTTTGCTGATTAAATTTTGGGCCTTGCATCTGCTAGGTAAAGACTCCACTACTGAACCATATTTCCAACTTCTGATGCCATGATTTTAGCCCAAGATGACCTCTACTATATCAAAGGCTAATACAGTTGCATTATTTTAAGTCATTAAATTGTAGTGATTTGGGGCCAGCATGATGCCTGGATCAGTGGCTAAGGGCAATTGATGACAAACTCAAAGACTTGAATTTGACACCCAAACCTACAGGATGAAAGGAGAGAACCGACTCACACAAAATGTCCTCTGAACTCCACATGGGCAACATGGCATGCACACACAGGAGCATATACACACAAATAAATAAATACACACATACATAAATAAATGTAATTTAAAAATTAAATTGTGGTGGTGTGTTACATCAACAATAGAAAGCTGGGGTTGGAGAGAGGGCTCAGAGGTTAAAAGCACTGGCTGCTCTTGCAGAAGTCCTGAGTTCAGTTCCCAGCAACCACCACACGGCAGCTCACAGCCATCCATAATGAGACCTGGTGCCCTCTTCTGGCCTGCAGGCAAAGCACTGTATTCATAATAAATAAATCTTGAAGAAGGAAAAAAACCAATTGAAAGCTAATATCTAATCTAAGATGAGCCATCTGTCATTTCCCAGGGGATATGAAATTGGACTGAGGACAAACAGGCCATCCATCTGCTGGGGATGTCTTTCTGTATGCTGTGAATGTGTTGCTCTGATTGACTGATAAATAAAACGCTGATTGGCCAGTAGCCAGGCAGGAAGTATAGTATAAGCAGAGAGGAGAATTCTGGGAAGTGGAAGGTTGAGTCAGGAGACACTGCCAGATGCTGCTGCCATGAGAAGTAAGATATAAAGATACCAGTAAGCCACGAACCACGTGGCAAGGTATAGATTTACAGAAATGGGTTAATTTAAGATGTAAGATCTAGCTAGCAAGAATCCTGAGCCATTAGGCCATACAGTTTAATTAATATAAGCCTCTGTGTGTTTACTTGGGTCCAAATGGTTTCAAGACAGGTGGGTGAGAGAGATTTGTCCTGACCATGGGCCAGGTGGGACACAGGAAAACTTCAACTACATCCATCCCTAACTGAATTTGGGAGTCAGGACAGACATCGACTAGCCAAGCAAATGTGTAGGATAGGGGGCATCCAAAATGTGGAACAATCTAAAAGCCAAGCACTCATCCAGGTCTTCCCAAAGTCAATCTCCTGAGAAAAATAAGGAATGGAGGATGTTTTAGATTCTAAATCTTGGAAGAAAAATTCAAGAGGCATTTCTTGAGCCTTTGAGTCCATGATAACAAACTATAAAGGGAGGCTGTTCAGTCGGTAAAGTACCTGCCACACAAGCATGAGGATCAGTCTCCAGAGCCCACATCAAAAAGCTGGGTGTGATGGCACCTGCTGGTGATACCAACTCAGAGGAGGTGTAGATAGGCAGATCCTGGGCCTCAGTGGCCAGCCAACTTGGCACGCTCCAGGCCAGTGAGGGACCATGTCACTCACACACACACACACACACACACACACACACACACACACACACACACACACAAAGGTAGATGATGCTTCAGGAACAACACCTTAAATTGACCTCTGACCTCTACACATACATCCACACATATGCATCCACACTGATACATATTATTTTTTTTAAGAATGGTCTCACTGTGTAGCCCCAATTGTCCTAGAACTTGCTATGTAGATCAGGCTGACCTCAAACTTACAGAGATCCACCTGCCTCTATCTCCCAAATGTAGAGATTAAAGGTCTATGACACCACACACAGGTTATACACACATACTTCAAAATTATCTATCTATCTATCTATCTATCTATCTATCTATCTATCTATCTATCTATTTTATGTGCATGGGTGTTTTGTCTGAATGTGTGCCTGTGTACCATGTGTGTGCCTGGTGCCCACAGAAGCCAGGAGATGATGTAGGATTTCACTGGGACTAGAATTACAGGGAGAGAAATGACAGAATTATAACATAACCTCAAAAATAAAAGAAATAATTTTAAAGTGCTTTATTAGGAATATTAATGCTTACTGAGTATAATTTACTATCATCAGGCCATTATTCTTCAGCAGTAAATTCATGTAGATGCTAACATTATCGCTCTTTACAGAAGATCAAAACAGTACCACAGACCCAGTTATGTGCCTAAGGTCCCATGACTGGTAGGTGGTGGGCATCTAAACCTGAGCAGCCTGCCTCCAGAGTCCATAGCTAACCCTCTTACCCTCCTTCACTGCCTCTTACCCTCCTTCACTGCCCTGCCTCATTTCTTCTCTCTGTTCCAGAAAGAATGGGTAAGAACACGACTTCAGAAGACTACAGAACAGGGATCATAACTCAGTCCTGAGCCTCTCTGGTGCTTCCCTTCTTTGTGCCAAGCTGTGAATCTGAGAGGTACAGGGTGCCACCATTCATCTGAGGCCTCTGCCACACCTGCTTCTTTCTTCCTCTATTCGTGCTCCTTTAAATCTTCTGCTCAGGAATTCCCTCCCAGAGCCCGTGACCTGCCTCACCTCCTCCATCTTCAGGATCCTACAGCTAGGAGACTTCTTACATCTCTTCATGGTTCCTAAGTTGGCAAATGGTACAAATGGACCGTTTGCCTTTCATAGGGAGGACAAGAAGTCTTCCCCTATGAGTCGCTAAAGTAAAAACAAACAGCTTCCCTCAGTGGCAAAGCAGTAGCTGCTGCTCCTCACTCCCCACGCCCTGCCAACAGCTGCTGGAAGCCTGATTCCAAGAAAACCGTATTCTGAGAATCTACTGATGTCACAAGCGAAAGTTCTGGGGGGAAGGGGAGGTAACAGTATATCAGGATCTAATATTTATTGAGCTAACATGGGCGTTATCCTTGCAGCCCCCATGAGGGACCTTAAACCCAACCCTGTTCATGAAGACACTAGGGCTCAAAGTGGCTAAACAACTTCCAGGGTCATGGAAGCATCTTGAAAAAGGGGAAAGTTTTGCAGCTCCAGGTAAGAATAGTCAACATTAAGCTCAGCAATACTAAGACTGAAGAGACACTAGGGAGTGGGCCCATGGCTTTGTCCCAGAAGTCACAATGAAGTAGTACAATCAGGAAATCCTTCAACCAGCTGCAAGATCAAGCGGCAAAAGGACCTTGTTAAAAGTAAACAACTCTGTGGTCCTAAAAGCAGAGAAGAAAAAGATGGCAATCATAGTCCAACACTCTCCTAGGGAGCTCTACTCCCTGAGGACAACTATTACTTCAATTTGTTTTTACATTAAGATCCTCAGTGAAAAACTGGAATTGCAAGTATCACATGACAAGCCATCATTTCTTTCCATCCAATCCCCAACCAATAGAGAAAGTGAAGAGCACTGAACTTAGAGAAGACAGCCAGAACAAAGTCCTAGACTGAAGAGCTGGAGGTGTGCCCCATCAGAGCATCTGCCTAGCATGCATCTAAAGGAGTCCTAGTAGACCTTATTCATACACACACACACACACACAGAGAGAGAGAGAGAGAGTACACAGAGAACTAAGGGATGATAAGAATAAGGTCTGTGGATGTATACTTATGTCAGTTCCCTGGTTTTGATACTGAATTATATTATGCAAGACATTACTGCTAGGGAAACTAGGTGAAGAATACAAGACCTCTCTGTACTACTTTGTGGTGGTTTGAAAGAAAATGACCCCCATAAGCTCACAGGGAGTTGCTGTGGGATAATGCTTTTGTACACTGTAAAGATATGTCACTCCTATTGGTTTAATAAAATGCTGATTGGCCAATAGCCAGGCAGGAAGTATTGGTAGGGTGACCAGACTAGGAGAATTCTGGGAGGAGGAAAGGCAGAGACAGGGTCTCCAGCCAGACACAGAGGAAGAAAGATGAGAACGCTGGACTGAGAAAAGGAACCAAGCCACGTGGCTAAACACAGACAAGAATTATGGGTTAATTTAAGCATAAGAGCTAGTTAGCTATAAGCCTGAGCAATAGGCCAAAACAGTTTGTAATTAATATAAGCCTCTGTGTGTTTACTTGGGACCAAGCAGCTGCAGGACACAGGAAAACTTCCCTCTACAGGGAGTGGCAATGGCACTATTAGCAGGTGTGGCCTTGCTGGAGTGAGTGTGGCCTTGTTGGAAGAACTGTGTCTCAGTCTTCACTTCCTGCTGCCCGACAATTTGGAGGTAGTTCTCTAAGCTCCTTCTCCAGCACCATGTCTGCCTGCGTGCCACCATGCTTCCCACCATGATAATAATGGACTAAACCTCTGAAACTGCAAGCCAGCCCCAATTAAATCTTTTCCTTTATAAGA